TGAATAAGATAACTCACCTCGAGCTGAATGTACCTTGCGTTTTTTGCATGTGACGGTAATCCCCCAAGTGCTTACTGTTGCATATTTCCCATAATGACACATCTGTTATTTGTGAACTTGTATCTGCTGGACCATGGCAACCTTTTTAGCATTTAATGCACATAAGTTGCACTGTCTTTACCTCAGAGAGCTTTGTTTTGTTTTTTTGTATGTCTATATTTTGATTTGAAAACCTTGATCTTGCAATATAAGCCAGATTTTTAAGAGCTTATGTTCCTAAAATATTGTCCAGATGTTTTATACTACCCTAACTTTGTCTTGATTGTGATTGCCAGGAACCAAGTGGGTCCCCTACTCCAAAGAGGCCCAGAGGACGGCCGAAGGGCAGCAAAAACAAGACAACCGGCAAGGGCAAAGTAAGTCAATGCAGTCTGCAGACGTGTTTTCACATAGTGACAGATAGTGAGTTCAGCAGCAACGAGCACACATCCTGATCCGGAATAGCTGCAATTCCAAGATGGGCAGTCGGCGTTAGTGTGGCATTTGTTGTAAATTTGTTTCTTGCAAGTGCTTTGTCTTTTTCTCCAAACCCCGGATTCCTTTTGGTTGATGAACATTTTAACGGTAGCTAACCACCTCCTTGTAAAAGGATGTCCTGCTGTTACTTGAGATATATTTGTTGGCTGTAATCTGGCTGCTTCCCCCTCGTGGTGTCAGAAATAGCTTGGCTAGGGTTCCCCATTGTAAAGACCTTGGTTTACTGCCTCACACTTTCTTTTTCTTTTTTTCTTGTTGGTGATGCTCACCCTCTACTTCCTGTCCTCCAGCTTCCTGCAGCTTGTCATGCAAAGTGTGGTGCAGGTGCAGAGGCCGCAAGACTGTTTCCAAGCTGACACTAAGCACCCCTCCGCCCCCACCCAGCACACAGCCCTAGTTCTTCTCTGCCTGTCGTTACCATAGCAACAACTGATTTTTCTCCCCCGCCCCAACCCTCCGGTTCTCCCTGCGCTCGGTCTTCACTGCTATGTATGGGAAAGGCGGAGGGAGAGGAAGTCGCGCATACATGTTTTGATATAGGTTTAGCAGCGAGGGCCGAGCTGCAGAGGGTTTGTGTCTCCGCTCAGTTTCACCAGCTGTCTCTGAGCCTCAGACCAGGTGGCCAGCGAACTGGAGTGCCCTGTGTGCAGTTCCTGTCGGCCTTCCAGATAATAGCCAATGAACCCAATGCCCCCTTTCCATCTGTCTCATTTTAGAGGCCTTACCGCCATCTACAGGCAGCTAGATGCAGAGCTCTAGGAAATATTGTTTACACCATTGCTTTTTGTGCCCCCCCCCCAAAAACAAAAACAAAAAAAAACTCAGAAGTTTTAGCAGATCAGCAGGTCAGTGACCTTGAGGATCACAACAAAATGTTAGAGCCCACTTGGAGCTCTCTTGACCTTCTTCCGTTTTCTCTCACAGAAGGCAACGGCAGCCCCATCTGCAGGGGGAAAACGCAGGGGAAGACCTAAGAAGGAGGTAAGATCCCATGGACAAACAAGTGTTCACATCAGTTAAGCTGTTCCTCTCCCAATTGAATTATGCTCGGTATGAGTGCCTGCAGGGTGAAATTGCATTTTCCTAATTCCCTTGCCTGCCTTGTTCCTTGGTCTTTTTTTTTTTTTTTTTTTTTTTTTTTTCTCATTGGCTATTTTGGGGTCTTGTGTTCATTCAGAGTTGCATGGTCAACCACTCTTTATTGAGTAGTTTTAAAATGGCAAATGTCTTTAAAGGTTTTCTGTTTTGTTTTTTTTGTTTTTTAACCAGATGTTGACAGCAGGATATTTACTTTTAGGAGCTTCAAAATGAGTCGCCCAACTACATACAGCCGGTCAAAGCAGCATGTTTTAATCTAGGAGAAACTGCGGTCTTGTAGTAACATTGTGTCATGTGCATGAGTGGTTAGGGCGTACTCGTCTGAATTGCATTAGTCACAGAAAGGAATGACCCACAGTTACCCTCCTAACTAGGCTCCTCATTTTTATGAATGGACATCTTGGGCAGCAGTAAGTGTGAGCAGGAAAGGCAAGAGGGCAAAAAGCAGGATGCCTCATTGTGACTCACTGCTGTGTGTATGAATCATTTTTCACTACAGATGGCTCACTCTTCCCTTGGGTGTTCTTCATGCCACAGTGGTTTATCAGAGATTTTATAATAACATTTAGTCTCTTTCTTGTTGGTGCTTGGGGGTTATTAAAGTAAAAACAGTCGCGTTGAGGCATGAATCACAGGCAGCTATTGTCGTTGAACACTGATGGTGCTTTGGGCATTTTCCTTGTGGGTGTGGTCAAGGCATAACTTAACAGCGCCCCTTCCTTTTTTTTTTTTTTTTTTTTTTTTTCTCCCCTGCAGGAAAAGGAAGAAAAAGCATCCCAGGAATCATCTGAGGAGGAAGAGGAGGAGGACCAGTAATTCACAACGCATGCTACCTCACTCAACATACTGACTTACTGTTAACCAGAACTGGGCTGTATCTCCAATGCCAGTGCCACCACATGACCACTGTTCACGACAAAGCCCCCTTTTGCCAAAGGAGGGTTAACACAGTACATATATCATGCAACAGCACTGGATAGAACGATGGACTTGCTCAAGCATAGATCTAAGAATTACATGAAAGGTAACAGCCCGTTTCTCTACATGTCATGTTATTACAAGTCTTTTATACTGGACAAAAAGGTGTTCTCCAAGGAGCCTGGACATTTCCTCCATTTTTCTCTTTTTTTTATTTTTATTTTTTCCTCTCCCCTAAAGGTGGTTTGTAGGATGTTTTCTCTGCTTAATGTTACTTATTTGTTGTACCCGCATCTGAGATGGTAGGGCATATAGATTTTTCTCCGTGTTTTGTACTGGACAAAGGTGAATTTTACCTATACTACTTTTTTTTTCTTTTTTTTTTTTCTTTTTTTTCCAAAAGTTTTTCTTTTTTGGTTTTGAGTGTTTGTGTGAAGTGGTTAACCTATCCTTTGCATTGTATTCTAGATGGAGTTGAGCTTCAGCATTTAGGATGAGAATAGGTAACTGATGGTAGAAGTATCTTTTCCTAATCTGCATAACTGACTTCACCCACCCGATTAGAGAACCATCTTTTGCCCTCTTCCTGTAGGACAGTTTAGATTTTAGTGATGCTTCTCAGACTTCCTTCTCAGTTCACTGCGTATAGTGGAGAGATGTAAAAGTGTATCATTAGACTCGATCTGACTTACTGTTTTGTTTTTGTTCCTTTGGGTTACATACATTTTAAAACACGTGTGCTGCTTTTCATGTTATAATAAAACTCTTTCGTATGTGTTTTTTAAGGTTGGCAGAGTTCTAGGCTTAAAGTCATCAGTGTCTTTTCTTCAGGGAGCTTTTACAAATGCTGTTACATTGGCGTCTTTGTCCTCACATGGTCCTCAGTTTTCCAAGCCCTCACTCTCAATCACTTATAAGGCAAACTGCAATTGATCGGACAAGGAGTTTGATTGTAACACAGGATAGTTGGTGGCACTACTATCCAACAGGGCTGTATTATTATTTTATTTTTTTTCCCTCATTCCATCTAGATCTCACTGCTTCGCCTAGCTTGGTCCTCCTCTCATCACTTAGTATGGTAATAATAAAAAGAAACTTTTTCCTTAGTCCTTTGAAGATGTGTGTTGTATGCCGTCTGCTATGGTTAAAGAAAACGTTTGTGTATTTCTAAGTGTCAGGGAACCCACAGTCACAGTCCACTTAACTGGGTTTTTCCACACACCTAAGCTGCTACAACCTCAGTTACGAAACCCGGAAAACTGCAAACAGGCAAGACAATGCCTGGAATTTCATACCTCACTCAAACGGCTTATTTTACCATTTATTGCAACTGGGTTTTTTTTGTTTTGTTTTTTAAATGTAACCTCTGGCATGAGTTGACAATGTTTGTATATTTTATTTTTCCTCTCCTGACTGTAATGAGAGATCCAAGGGGTCGAGTATGTGATTGTGTGACGACACAAACACTTCTTGGCTCATTCATAACCGGAGCTGGCAGACAGGTTTTTGGTTTGTTTTTTTTGTAAATGTGTGAAGCAAGTCAGGGAGACCTGTCAGCTTGACGACTGTGTTCGCTGACTGTGGTAGATTAGCAAGTGTGTTTTTATCCTTTTAAGAAAAAAACTTCTGGTGCACTGAAATGTTAGTTCAGATTTTCATGGACAAATGTTTGTGATGGACTGGGCGCTTTTTCCATGTTCCGTTGGCCACCGTGTGTCTACCACTGCCACACGTAGCCATCCTCACCGTACTCGTACAACGGTCATTTCATGTCCTCTATCAACTTCCTAGTCTCGATATCATGTCATTTTACATAGTAACGTCAGTCATCCGTTGATTTATATACTGTAAACTCAATAGGATGGATCATTCTTTTTAATGTACACGTATATAAATGTACAATGTCTATATTTCTATGGTGCCCTACAACAATTTGTATCAGAAAATGGTCAATAAAGAGAATTTTCTTTGTCACTTGTTCATATTATTGCACTCTGCTGTGCAGCTCATGCAGGCTACAATGATGCATTGCAACTATGTACAAAAGTAAATTATATTTCCAGCGTTTCAACTACCTTACCAAGTCTCTTGAACCAATGGATGTACAGTCTGAAAAGAGAAAGATTGTAACAATGTTCCCAAAATTACATTTGCATCAGTCCATCTCCTCAAACATCACCTGAATGCACAGCCTTTCATGCAAAGTTTACCAGAGGGGTGTACTACATGTTAGGAATAAGCAATCGCACTGAGAGTGCACCACTGCTTGATAACGTCTAGAGCTGCTGGGCTCATAGGGACCAATCACATGATGAAACGCCTCTTATGTGAGCACTCGCAGAAGCTGAAGCAGAAAACCTGCCTGAACAGTTGAAAGACACCATTACCCATTTTATCTGACAGGGGGTTTAGGTTTTGTCAAGAAAGCGTTGCAATGTTGAACTTCATAGTTGAACCCCTCTGGTGTGTCACCTGTGCAAATCTCCTAAGTCAACAGTGGATACAATTTTAAAGATGAATGGCTCATTTCATAAAATTCTTCACAAAAGATGAAAAACTAGATAATGCATAGAATAGAAACACAATTAGGCTGATACTTAAGCACCTCTGGGTATAATAACTAGTTGGCCATCCCAAGTTTGCAGAGCTGGGTTCTCAAAGTTTAGGGAGCCAATGTAAGTGGACTACCCAGGAAAAATCCACACTTTAAAGTGCCTGTTCAGCAAATAGTGGTTCATGTTGGCATTTGCTTTATTGTGTGTGTGTGTGTTTTTCTGGGCTTTAACAATTACTGAGGTGTCTATTTGTCAGTGTTAATAAGATTCATTCATCTATGACAACTACAGCTAAATGTGTTGCAATTTAATAGAAATGCTCCCACATCTTTTTGTGCACCGCTATGACAGACCACCAAATGGTAAGCCAAACTTTGAGAACCACAGCTGTAGAGGGTCAGGGTGGGGCTGGAGCCCAACCCACAGGTAGGGCACTCCCTGGACAGGTGGAAGCAAGGACTAGCGCTGAGACAACCAGCAGCAGTCACACCCAGAGCCAGCCCTGGAGTGTGGATTTTCTTCTGACACTGTGGATAAAGCACAGTGGGAAAACAAATGCCACACAGAAAGGTTTAAACCCAGAACTTTCTTGCTTGTTATGCACCACCATGCCGCCCACACTTTTAGATGTCATAACTGATAACATGACATGTTTGAGCATTACATGCTCAGTACAATACATTAGCTGTTGGACTGAGTAATGCTTCCCCCATCTGAGGGCAGTTAAACAGTTCAATTGTTCTTAGTTTACATTCACAAATGCAAGGCAAAAAAGGAACGGGGGAGGTTATGACTTGTAAAGAAAAAAAGAGCAAGACTTCCTGAGTGCTTAAAACAGTCAGACTTATGGCATTCATCTGAACAGATTCTTCAGCTGGAGGCAAATTTGTTGGTGCCATGCCTTGTAGACAGGACATATTTTGAGAGCTAGTCAGAGCTCATTTTAGGGATGAGAGTTTGGTGTTATTTACTTCCACTATCTGGCTTTTCATGCCATTGATAAGAGTCACAGGATTTGGCTAAACCACAAAAAGACGTGAAGCTCCAGGCATGACTTAGATTCTTTAAGCAAAGTAAAACTAAAGCGAGCTGTTCAATCATTTCACTGAAAATGAAACTGAAATCAAATTTAGCAGCTTGATCTTAGCTGCTAATTTTATTTTTCAGCAATATGAGGTTTTCTGAGAGTTTTGCAACAATGTAACTGTTGAACGCTACACTAGTCATTTTATCAGAGGATGATTTGTTTTTCTAATGCATTGCACACAACTCGTTTAAAATCACCAGCGCAGGCAATGATCACAATTCCTCTCGCAGCAGGACTGCTGATTTTTAAAGGGTACAGCACATTCATGCCACGAAGAGCACAGCTAGTACGAATGCTCACTGCAACCCACAGGAACATAACAGCTTGCCACACGTCGCCCACAACAACATAGCAAATGTAAACAACAGATTAAAAATCTACAGGTAGCTGTACCTTTGAAACTTTGAGTCATGTCACTGAATTTTTCAATAAAAACAAGTTTAAATAAATAATTTCAAATAAATAATCTTAAGGTACTGAGACTGTTAGGCACACAGGATCGGCATCAGAAGTTCAACGTCAAAGTGTACATAAAAGAGAACAGGAAAATGCTCATCGTCACCGATGTGCTCAGAGACGACAGTAAAAGGAAGCAAATAAAAGCTAAGAAGTATTGTACACGATTGTTTGTACATCACGATAAAAATTACTGATCTCTGTGGTTGCAGGTTTGTCGTCACACCCCACAGTGCTCAATGTCAGGGTTTACCAACATCATGCATTGACGTCTTTGGTCAGAAGAGGGTGTTGCTGTTGATAACTTGACGCCCAACTTTGTACAATCTAAAGGAAAAAACAAAAAAAGAGAGAGAAAAGCATACAGCTTAATAAAGTTATTTGAAAGAGCAAAAACATTTACTCAAGTGTGAAATCTCTTCTCATGAGAGGACCTGAAAACCTGCTTCGAACTAAACAATACTTTCGCACTCAAACCAAATTATACCAAGCTATGATGATTTGACAGTAGTCTCAGTTTCATATAACGAGATTATAAAATTCCTGCATGTCAAACTTCCACAGCAGAGGTAAACCAAGCTCGATTCATGCAGTAAAAGCCCGATGTCTTTCCGAAACCGCACAACCGTGGAATATCTTCCATAACAGGACTTTCAGGGTTAACTGAAATTTAATTTGCTCTCGCTGTATTGGATTAAAGACAACAAGGACACATTTATCACTAAAACGCAGGCAGACAAAACCTGAACTTTTTCCATGGCTACTTATCATTAGGAGTATGTGACTTTTTTTTTTGGTAATTTGGGCAAACTGACCCATTAAGGGCTTTTTCAAGCACTGCTCACATTTGTCCCTTTCCCATCTATACAACCCCACCTTGACTTGACAAATAAGAAGTAAAACTTTTTGACAAACTTTTTGGACAAAGTGAACATCGCCATCTAGTGAGCCTCAGGATTCAGTGCACGACTCGGCTCAAAATAAAGTGCTTTTTACTGGCAGACTGAGAAAAATGAGAAGGATTGTCATTTTATTTTCTGAAAAATAAGCTGATGTTAAAATTCTGTGTTGGGAAAAGACATGCATACTTGTCAAGGGAAAAAAAAGACTATAAAATGATTTTTCAGATATTACTAAACCAGAAAGGCAGATTGTTTCATTTATATGGAGCAGATTTCAGGTCAGATAACTATGAGTCATTTGACGACCATATTCCCATAAAATTACAACTGGCTAAACTCGTTCTACTACTAATACTATCATCCTTTCTACTCTACTTCTATCTATAACTGAATGCAATAGAGGAACTGACCAATCAGTAGAGGAACTGGTGCACGCTAAAGAAAATTTCACAACCAATATAATTAGACAGTATACCAAACAGTATTAAGAGAATGTTTTCACTCTGCCTTTCTTAGAAAACGTGGTTGTGCAACTTTTAAACATGCTTGGCACAAGAATCCATGTCTTCCAATGGGAGCAATACTGAAAGAGTCACATAAAAACGACAAGCTTTACCACTTGCACTTCCAAGTAAAGAATCCAAAACTGTAAAAACTGATGTGCCTTACCCTTGTGTCCTCTTCTTTCCACAACATTTCTTGTTCGGCTTCATTAATCTCCTCTGAAGGATCGTACGTGTACACTGGTAATAGCTGATGACGCAGTCTGTCAACTCTGAGGGACCAAGAAAAAAAACATTGATTCAGTGAAGGTATAAAGGTAAAAAAAAGAAAAAACAAGAAAAAAAAAACTGTTCAATGATGTTGATGGATAAATTTTAATCCTACCTCCTTTTCCTGCGAATATACATTATCTGAAATGGACAAAATGAAAGATGTTACATCCGCTGTGTGTACGCTTGGATCTCAATTCACACTTGACTTTTAAGTTAGTAAGATGTAGGACTGCTTCATAACACAATGGCTCAACTTGACATAGATCATCCTATGCCATGTGTTCAAACCACTTACCACAGCGGCAATTATCCCAGCAAAGGTTATGAGGAAAAATGGCACCAGCACATAGCTGACAGCCACATTCCCATCTATGGTGGCAGGGGACTGAGTAGTACTGTTCATTGTAAATGTTAAGCGATAAGGGGACACAGGGGGCTGCTTGTGCAAGGCCTTTACGAGCAGCAGACACCCTCCCTGTTGCAGTCACTGTGCAGCGGATCACTCCTCAAGCTGCCCCCTTGTTGTTTCTGCCTCATCCTCGTCGCTCATGTGACTTCCACATGGTATCACTGACCTCCCTAATCAGCTACAAATCTGAGGACACGGGGAAAGGAAAGAATTTGCACGGTTAGCCAAAGAAACTGTGAGTTCATACAATGGCAGATGAGTTACTTGGTTGGAAAAACAAAAAAACATGCAGTAAACTCGTTGTGGTAAATGAAATAGACGTTTCAAACACTCAGTGGGCCAATTACACACAACATAAACACTGAATGTCTTGTTAGCAAGCCACTATTCCCCTGCTCAGTATTCTGTGCGTTTGCCAAAGTGCCAATTAACTAAGGCAGGCAGTGTTCCCTGTTCTAGTAAATCAGGCTAAAATATAATTTAACACTCGTTTAATTAACTTCCCGCTTCTATGGAGCTGTTAGAGACCCAGCCGAAGGTACCTACCGTTAGCTGCACCGTTACACTATAGGCTGTACAGCGATACAAACGAGACTAGGCTGATTTCTTACACGCCAAAGCTATATTTTTTAAAATTCTGACATAATCGAATAAACCGTACTCACTGTGTGTTGTGCATAGCCTCTCTTTTCAGTTAATGCTGTGTTGTGCTTAGCAGAAGCTTCACTTCCGCTAGCCGCAGCAGGTCCAGGCAGGCAGAATCCTTCACAATAAAAGCGTATTGATGACGTCAGAAATCACGTCTCAAAAATGTTCCTCATTATCAGCTTTTTTAAAATCCGTTTTTTGTTTTGTTTTTTAAAATTTATTTCGTTTTTTTTCCTTCTTGGTAGAGTGTCAGCTAGTTGCTGGAAACATTCCTCATAGAGTTTGGTTCACATAGATGATATGAATCTCTGGTTCAACCACATCCCAAAGCTGCTCTATTGGATTGAGATCTGATGACTGTGGAGGCCATTTGAGTGCACTGAACTCACTGTCATGTTCAAGAAACCAGTTTAAGATAAAATTAGCCTTGTGCCATCATGTGTTTTCCTGCTGGAACTAGGCATCTGAAGTTGGGTACGCTGTCCACTTAAAAGGATGGACGTGTTAGGCAACAGTAGTCACTTATGCAGTATATCACCCACAAGACTGCTTTAATTCTTTTAAGTCATTTTACACCAAATTTAGATCCAACCACTTGAATGTCAAAGCTGATACTGAGACTCATCAGGACCAAACAACAATTGTTTTATTCTTCCAATTTTGTGAGCCTTGGTTTCCTTTTCTTAGCTGACAGAACTGGCACCTACTGTGGTCTTCTGTTCAGTTAGTCAGAGATGCTCTTTTGTATGCCCTGGCTGTAAAAAGCAGTTATTTGAGTGGTTCTCCTCTGACCTCTGGCATCAACAAGAAATTATTGCCTGTGCAAGATTGCTATTGTTTTGCCAGTGAGTACTGCAGGATGTAAGTGATTTTTGTTTTTTACTTTAAAGCTTGTAACCTTTTTAAAACTGTGCACTCATATGGACTCTCCTCATGAGCAAGAGGAGAGGCAAGATGGCTGTATTACTTCTATCCATCCATCCATTTTCTTCCACTTATCCTTATCAGGGTCATGGGGGGCAGGAACATATCCAAGCTACCACAGGACTAGAGTCAGGGTGCACCCTGGACAGATCGCCAGTCTGTTGCAACACAGTATTAGTATTAGCACTATATTACTTAATGAGCCATTATGCTCCACACACAATATATATGTGTGGCAGTAAGCTAATTATAAAACTATAGCTGCATAAAATGAGTGAAACCTTTCAAATTTAGTAGATGAAGTCTTATCATTCTTCATTCTAGACCACTAAAGCTGGTTTAAGAAATGGATTTATCTACATCAGTGTTACCTTACACTGATTACTAATGAGTGATATGATACATTTTGTGTGCAGGGATATTATATATTAGCTTTGTGTACTTTTGTGTAACATTTCATATTGCGTAACGGGAAGTGCCTTTTCTTTGACCCTCGCCTGTGGGATTAGTGGCAGTACCGCAGTAAATTATCTTACGCAATGATACTGCTCTGTTTGGTGGCTTCTCCTCTTTACATGTCCTTCTCAGCAGGCTGACACATTGTGAAGCCTTGGTGCATTTACAGATGCATACGATTAAGCAGTGCCCTATAAATAATGTTGTTCAAATATACTCAGTGTTTCCCCTCAGAGTCAGAATGATGCACAAACAAGAAGGAAGGAAGCCCATAAAGCATCACCTACACTAGCAGCTGTAAGCCTTGGTGTCTGCACTGTGATTCGTCCTGTGCTCTGAGGCTGCAGTTTCATTGTTTACAGAGGATAAATATACACTTTCATGTTTACATTTAGACAACCATGACACATGACACAAGCCAGTGCAATACTGACTGCTGTCTGCCTATATTCCACGAAGGTCTGATATGCAGTCTTAAACATGTTACTCATACAGGCACGTTTGATTGTAGAATTGTTGATGGGCTTTATATGGCACCCTGTAATGAATGAACAGGCTAGGATTTCATTTGGGATAATCCTCTTCTTAAAGCATTTCCTTCATCAGCTTTTCACAGGCATTCCAATCAGCAGCCTCTGTGGAGCTTTCTTGATCAGCTTCATTTTGAGGAAAAAACAAGGATTCAAGTGACATCATTTAAATAACAAGCACTAAGTAAGTAAGTAGCTTTCTGGCAAGCTAACATATTTGACAGCCTCTTGTTTTCTCTCCCTAATAGGGAAAAATGACAGTACCTCATCTATGGCTCAATACCTTTTTCACACTAGAACTCCATTGGTTTCTAAAAGAGAACAGAATCTACGGAGGCATCTGTTTATCAGATTTAATTCTGTAATATTTCGAATAACTTTGGATAAATGTTTGATTTGTGTTAAAGCAGTAAAGTAAAAGAGATTGTGCTATGATGCGATATGATGAATATATCCTGTGTAATAAGGAGGTACTTTTGCGGTAATATGGTGAATCCCTGAATGTCCTTAAAAGCTTTAAATGTACCCTCATTCAGTCAAGGGTAAACACTGAGCACTTCCTAAATAAATTATGCATTTGATTTCAAAAGCACAACAATTCTAAATTGGGAATTTCATCTGTACCTCTATTTAACATTGCCATGTTTGCTGCTTTATTACCTGGAGAAACTTTGGACTGGTCTAAGTCAAAATCCACAAACTTATCAGTGTTTTTAAAGATAATGTGCATCATATAGATTAACTATTATTTATCATTTAACAGTTTCTACAATTATTATTACAATTAAATAGAACCTCAAAATGAAAAACAACAAATAAATTTAACACATTACATCATGTCATTCTTTAGGCCAAAATGCAGAAGCTGTGTGGGGAAGAATTTTGGCCCATTCTTCTTTGAAACATTGCTTCATTTCATTGATGTTTTCAGGCATTTGTTTATGCACAGCTCTATTGAGATTCTGCCACAGCATTTCAGTCGGGTTGAGATCTGGACTTTGACTGGACCATTGCACCTTGACTCTTTTTTTCTTTTTCAGCAGATTTCCTTTTCAGCTTGGGATCATTGTCCTCTTACATGACCCATATGAGGCCAAACTTTAGCTATCAGACAGTTAGCTTCACATTTAACTCTAGAATATTTTGGTAAACATAGGAGTTCACGTTTTCTGAGTACAAAAACAGCCCAAATCATCACCCCTCCACTGCTGTGCTTGACAGTTGGTACAATATGTTGTTAATATTCAGCTTTTTGCCAATTATGGCACAATGCATTATGGCCAAACATCTCCACTTTGGCTTCGTCTGTTAAAAGGATGCTGTGCCAGAAGTCTTGTGGTTTGTTCAAATACAACAAAACGAAGCTGTGCTGACTTGAAACTGTTCAGTTTTTTCCTCTTGTTTCTCACTGTACAATGATGGACTTCAGATGTTTCCAAATGGCCTCATGACCCTGTCCAAACGGAAATGCATCAACAATTGTTTCTTTAAGAATATTGGTGTTATCTTTCCTCATTGGTGTTGTGTTGAAAACACCTGAACACTTCTTTTTTTCATAGGAATACTCACACATGGCGAGGATCAGTTAATCAAGTGCATCTGGTGTGACCTGGATGCTTTTTGACCTCTTAATTTCCATGGAAACAGTGAGAGTCTACGTAGCTTTTGTGTTATGCGTTATGTGTTATAGCTTTATAAATAAATAAATTATATCTCTATATATCTATATGCAGATAGATAGATAGATAGATAGATAGATAGATAGATAGATAGATAGATAGATAGATAGATAGATAGATAGATAGATAGATAGATAGATAGATAGATAGATAGATAGATAGATAGATAGATAGATAGATAGATAGATAGATAGATAGATAGATAGATAGATAGATAAAAGGCCTGGAGTTGATTTGAGGTGTGGTGCTGTCATTTGGTAAATTTTGCTGTGGATAGACAACATGTGGTCAAAGGAGCTCTCCGTGCAGGTGAAACAAACCATCTTTAAGTTCCGTAAACAGAAAAAAGTCAACCAAGAAATTGCTACAATATTTGGAGTGGCAAAATCTGCAGTTTGGTACATCCTGAGAAAGAAAGATAGTACTGGTGAAATCAGCAACACAAAAAAAACCTGGACGTCCATGGAAGACAACAGTGGTGGATGATCACAGAATCATTTCCGTGGTGAAGAGAAACCCTTCACAACACCCAGCCAAGCAAACAACACTCTCCAGGAGGTACACGTATCGATTTCCAAGTCTACCATAAAAAGAAAACTGCATGAAAGTAAATACAGAGGGTTCATTGCAAGATCCAAGCCACTCATAGGCCTCAAGCAAAAAAGCAAAACAACAACAACGAACATCTAAATAAAAAGCCAAGCACAGTTCTGAAAAAAACATTCTTTGAACAGACAAAAAACAAAACCAACCTCTACCAGAATAATGGAGAAGATATGGAACAGCTCATGATCCAAAGCATACCACATCATCTGTAAAACACGGTGGAGGCAGTGTGATGGCTTGTGTGCATGGCTTCCACTGGCACTGGGACACTGGTGTTTATTGATGATGTGACACAGGACAGAAGCAGCCTCTCACACTGTCCTTCAAGCATGTATATCATGTTGTTACAAATTTTGCACTGTCAGTAAATTGCCACTAGATGTCAGTAAGTAAATATGATTTAAGAAAATGGCGAATGGAGGGTGCACTGTTAATGTGTTGTGTAGGCTACGATTTAAGGTTTGGCATCAAACATTGCAGCTTTTGAGCCTTTTTATTTCACTGTTCAGACTCTGATCATTAAAACTAGGGCAGGAGCATGTGAGTGGAGTGATGAAATAGACAGTCTGTACTAGCTGCAATTTAATTACATCCTCAGTATGAAATCATTGCTCATTAGAGTCAGAACAAACAGCATCCGATTAATCTGCATGAAGGTGTTTGCTTCTCCGGCCACATCATCTCCATTGAAGCAAAGGGATTGTCTCTTCACCCTGTTTGGTTTTGGGTATCTTGAGGGAATTTTGCTACACCCAGCCTTGAAAAGAATAGTACGACAAACAAGCAAAGAAAAGAAAGTT